TGTATGATCAATTTTGAGTGCCACTGTATATACAGAGAAATCCGAGGCATTTGCTTAGCACGTAGTAGTTTTATAAGCATTTGCTCCTTCTTTGAGCAAAGTAAAAATATGTGAATAAATCCATTTTTGGATTACTTATTGAGAGATGAGATCGATTGTATGATATGAGACCGAAATTTCACGCTCAGTGCTGAATATTCATAAGTTATAAACTCGAACTTGCTTCCTATAATCCATCTCATCTCTCAACAGGTCATCCGAAAATGGATGTGTTCACATATTTTTTTACTTTTCTCAAAGAAGTAAACAACTAAAAAACTACTATGTGCTGCGTAAACGTCTCGAACTCCTCGGTATATATAAGTGTTGCATTCTATTCTCATATATCGAAATAGTATAAAAAATTCATTTCAATACGAGCAACACTTTTGTCGCTGGCTATTAGAATAGAACCGAAAAATAATTCTTTGTATGTTTCGAGCTAACATTCATGGTGTGCTAGCATCACCTGACCATGCAAGGAAAATGAACTCACTCACTGTTTTCCTTGTCCTCATCACACGCACTAATGACGCCTTCGCCAAAAGTCGTTAACACAAAAAGAAGAGTCGCATTTTGCTTTCTTTTCTCCATCGAAGAGATAACCACTCAGCTACTCGATTCATATGTTATCAGCATAACATCCTATCGCTTTCATATCTTTGTGTATAGTCGCAGAATTTGAGAAAAAGACAAGGACAACACATTACAAATCTGTAACTGACTTAAGTACGTTGCAAACGAGTGCATAGTGCTGACCTTTTTTTTTCGCTGTTGCCTCGATCCTCGACATAGAATTTAGAGCGGATCAGTGATAAACTCATCCCAGCGGGGTATAATTTGAACGACGATGGACTCTTGACATCCAATTTTAGGTATCCAGGGATGGGTGCCTTCAATAATTTTGTTTATGATAAAGATAGAAGCACAATATCACCGGACTATAGCCAACCGGACTTTTGAATTTTTGTAGAACTCACTATAAAATAGTGAGTTAGTGAGTGTCAGTTTCAATGCAGATTCGCCAGCTCCTCCTCCGCCTTTACAGACATGCCTCTCACATGGCTGTGTTTGGTAATACCAAGTTTCTCTTCTTTTACTCTATATTCTTTAGACCCCACAGAGTGTGGGTGTCGGTATGAATGGAACATAATTACAACCACATCCACACCTCATACTCAAACCTGCACCCATCTACACCCATAACAATAATAATGAAATTTTCATAAGAACTATTTTGCTATGATCAATGACTGCAACATGAGAACACACTTTGTCTTTGATGTGTATTTTCTTCTTCTTTTTTCTCATCTTTCATGCCTAGCCATCTATAAATATTAAGATTTAGAAAAATGGTGTCGATAGAAAAAAAATAAAAATAGAGAAAGTAATTCATTCAGTTTTTCCTTCAATTATTCTCCAGATCTGGCATCGTGTGACGTTTGGTTATTCGAATTCGTCAAAGAAAATCTAAAAGATCAATACGATTCCAAATTGTTTCACTATGTTATCAATAAGTGCAGATATCCTTTAAATAAAAATAAGTATGAAAAAAGCTGTTTGATAAATGAATACAAGGAATGCAAGTGAATTTGAATTACTAGTACAATTATTTTGAATATTTTATGATATAAAAAGACTTTATGAACTTGTTTCTCGATTTGCTGTTTTTATGCTATCAAAAGAAGAAAATATACTTATATCGAAGACAAAATATCATCTAATATTACTCTCAACTATCATAAAAAATACTCTTACAAAGATTTTATAATGTAGAGCCTTTTTTCACTATCAGATCATATCGAAAGAAAGTTTCTTGACATATTTTTCTAAGGAATTGAAATATCTCCATCACTATCGTTGGTATTCTCGAAGTATGACTATTTGAAATAAATATAATGTAACACTTAAAAAAAAATACACACCTGATGTTTTTCTTCGGAGAGACGGATTGGATACATTTAGTTCACAATAACAAAAAAAATAAGTATAATGATTTTTCAAGTCATAGTACTGCAAATATTATTTACAACAACGACTGGCTGTCTGATCAAATATTTCTTGAATGAGTTCTTATTGATCCGATACTCTCTATCGTACACCAACTGATGATGCATTATGTTATTGGTGTGATGCATCAGGTATACTTGTTTGGCAAGATATGCCTGCAGGAGATTCTTATGAATGTTATGAAGCTCGACGAGATGTTAATAAACAATTAAAATTACTTCGTAATAATAGAGAGAATGATTTACTAATTGTCTCCAAATACAGATTACGTTTTCTTCATACATCACACATGGTCTATTAAAAAAACCTTGCAAGCTACAATTCACTTTGAATATGAATTAAAAATAATCATTGATTATCTTTCATTTCATTCATCAATTTTTATTTGGGTATTATTTAATGAAGGACGGGATCAATATGATACAATACGTTAAGCAGCATGGCTATTATCGTATGATTAAAACCGTTTTATTATTCCTGCTAGTGGATGGTATGATCGAATGGATATTGAACGTAGTAGAGATATACATGATTATTTGAAAAAAATTATATTATCATCATTTAATGATAAAACTTCAGCCTTATTTATTAGTGAATGTGGTGGATTAGATTTAATAAAATCTGGTTGAAATTATTAAGCATACAAAGATCGTTATTTAATGATATATGCATTTGAACTACTTATGATTAACCTTTTATCACGTTTATCAACTACAATTTATCGGCTTGTCCGTAGGTAACGCACTCACGTTTTGGCAACTTTCAAACCTCATTTCTCCCAAATGTCGAAGCGTAGAGCATTGAAATTTGGTATATAGATGCATGCTATGAAGATGTTTAACATCTCTAAATTTCACCTCAATTGACTTCATGGTTCGCGTTTTATAAGCAAAATACATGTCGATAACGCACTCACACAAAAGGCCCTCTTTTTTTCGGGGATGTTAGAAATATTGAATTTCCTGCGAATTCTTAGCTTATAAAGATATATGATCGATAGCAAGTTTGCAGTGGAAAGTTAGGGCTATACGATAGAAAAAGACGTTTTCTAAAATATTGTGCTGTTGCAGAGTTACAGTCAAAATAATGTGGTAACGCACTCACACATGTGATACGCACTTATCATTACTAAGAGCAACAGCCGGTCGGAAGTGGACTGGTATGCTCTAATAGATCAGGCTACAGATGTACCTTGCAGTTTCGGACTAACATAGGGTAAAGACAGTTGGTTAGGTGAGGTCCCAGATTCCATTCACATTCGACCTGTATCTCAGTTTGGGTTGGAAGGCTTCTTGTTCATGGGATCCGGATATAGAAATTTTCCCTTGATCGAAACCGGATCTCAGTTCAGGACTGGCCAACAGACGCTGCTCTAAAGGTAAGACCCAATCATAACCTGATTTCTGTAATAACACGATCGAGAGTGCCTGAGAAACATACGAAGCATGCTGGCCGACGAATACAAATAATCGAGAAGTGCCTAGTATCTCAGAGCGGCTATTAGATGCGAATAAAACAGTTTCATTGAGAGTATCAAGAGTGCACTTTGGCTATTGGTCGCGCTCAGAAACTTTAAACAACCATAGTGGAATTTTAAGAACTTTGAATCCAACAGGTTGTATCTGGGATAGAAGAGGGAGGAACTGTCAAACTAAACAAGAAAAATAAATAGCTTGTTAACACCCATATAGGCTAGCAACTCTGGGAAATAAATTGAAAACAATGTGTCATCAAAACAATTGGTCTTATCAAACATAAAATTCAGAGCCTAAAGTATGATGATGAGTAGGTTGTGTGAGTGCGTAACCTTTTTTTTCATCAGTATCAGAAGATAAACGAAAACCAAGTCTGCTGTTCGATAGCCCATCAAAAGTTAGCGGAAGTACCTAAGTGTCCATTAGAATACTTTTGTAGTTATGGCGTAATATAAACTAGAAGCCCTATTTGGTAACGCACTCACCACAGATTTTGCCGTGCTTTCAGGTACCCTCCATTTTCTTCTACCAATCATGAAAGAGATCTAGTATACATCAGAAGAAAGTCCAATCTTCCTGGATTCAGAATACATAAGGCACTTCAATTTTTAACCATTCTTCTCTGTTTTTAAGATAATTTCTTCGATAGCACACACAAAATGACCCATGTGATGAAAATCGCCAAAAAATCAGCGATTTATCGCGATTT